CATTACCATCGAGCGTCTCATGGCGGCATAAAAGTTCAAATCGCCTGCAATAAGGCGCGGTCTGCGATTGCAGGATGAAGCTCTGCCCGCGAAGGCATCCAAGACGAAAGCAAACTAAGCAAGTTGGTGCCATAACCCAATGCCAATGCCAAACGTCAGATAGCAAGTATCAAATACCAAACATGAATATCAACAAGTGTGGATGTTATGGATGTCTGGGCGCGGCACACAATGTCAGAAAATAAACTCCACGCCCCCAGACGCGCGCGCGCGATGAAAAGCATCGTCGCCGCTTCATTGCCGCCGTTGCGCCCCGGGCCTCCTTGGCGCCGGGTTCAAGTCAGACAGGCGCGTCCGCGAAGCGGTCGGGATAGATCCAATCGAACGCAAAGTTTGCCGAATGCACTTCCCAGCGCAACAGAGCCCACTGCTCCTGCAGGGATGCAGATCGACGCGTATCTGCGGCCAGCCCGGGGCCTTGAGCGGCGCCCTGAACCTCGCGCCCTGGAGGCCTTTGAGATGCGAAGACCGCGGTGCATGCGAGGCGGTGCCAATCAAATGCGCGCTTGGTACGGCAGCGGAGCAGAAGCATATGCAAGGGGGAAATGAGGGAGGATGCGTGAAACAAACCAAGCAAGACTGCACTTTCTCGCTACGCACATGCACGCATGCGTGGCGGCCGCTGGGCTTTCCCCGATCTTTCTAAAAACTGAATCGCCTTCCCTGGGATCTCGCGATCAAGATGCGCGCGCGCCCGCGCGTGCGCGCGCGCAGGCGCGCGCGCGCAGGCGCGCGCGCGCGCAAACGCAAACCCGCGCACGCGCGCACCGACGCACCAGACACGCGCGCGAGCTCGCGCGCGCACGCGCACACGCACGCGCACACGCACGCACGCACACGCGCCCCACGCACGCAGAAACGCACAGACGCACGCACGCACGCACGCGAGCGCACACGCACTCTCGCGCACGCGCACGCACTCACGCACGCGCACGCGCACGCGAACACGCGCGCGAACACGCACGCGCGCCCGCGCGCCCGCGCACCCGCGCCCCCGAGCCCGCGCACCCGCGCGCCCGCGCACTTCTTCGCGCGGCCCGCCGCGCCCCGCCCCCGCCCCCCCGCGGCAACCCGAACTACCTGCGCGCACCGCATTCCCGCGCGCCCGCGCACACCGCGCGCCCGCTCTGCCGCGCGACCGCGCGACTGCCCGCCCGCCCGCGCGCGCGCGCTACGCACGCGCGCGCAACGCAGACGCGCGCGCGTTAATTTGAAAGCGTTTTGAACTGCGCCCCCCCCCCCCCCCCCCCCCCTTCTCTGCCTCGCGCCGCCCCCGCGCTCGATGAGATTGGGGGCGCGTGCGATCGGGGAAGGGCGGGGCGAGTGGCGGCGAGTTTCCCTGGGGCGCGCGGGCGAGGGGGATGGGCGGGGGGGGAAGTGGGGGGCGCAGAGACGACGGGGGGAACGACCAGAAGATAAAATGCAAGGAGGAGCGGGGGAATGAGGGGAAAAGGAGAGCAGGGATAATAATGAATCGTAAAACAATAAAAACGCGAGGCAGGCGGGGGCGCGCGGCGAGGGCTGGAATGGGGGGGCGAGGTGGGAAAGGCGACTAGGGCGGGCGCAGAAGGGGGGGGGGGGGGAGCAGAAAGCGCACTGTCTGACACCCCACCTGGCCCGACCTCATCGCCCGCCCCCCCCCCCAGTTCGCCGGCGTCATTTCTATCTCCCGGCCGGAGGATGCCCCGGGGGTTCACGGTTCCACGCGCGCTCCTATCATGCGAAGCGCAGTCCCATAGGGGGGCTGCGCACCCAAAGGGGAAAGACGAAAAGGAAGAAGAGGGGGGGGATGGGCGCGACACGCTGCGCAACGCGCGAAACGCACGCCTCGGGGCGGGAGTGGGGGGGCGAGGTGACTGCGCCAAAACAAAACGAAGAGACCGCCCCCGCCGGCGGGATCGCGGGGCGGCCGCGTCGCGCGGCGCGGGCCGGCTGAGGGGCCGGGCGCGCGCGCGACGCCGCCGCGCGCCGCGCTCGCCCCCCGCCCGATCGCCGGGGCCGACGCGCGCCAAACACAAAGCGCGTTCTGGAAAGGCGCCAGCCGACCGTTCCCAGAATTCTCGGATCAGGAGCGCGAGCGCGTCTCCCGACGCCCAGTCTCAGCCGCGTAGACGTCTGGGCCGGTTGCCGCCAGGGGCCTGGCCGCAGCGGATGGCGGGCCGCCCGACCTGTCTCGGCCGCGGGGCGTCGCCCAGCTGAGCGCTCATCGGCCCCTCTGGGCCCTCTCCCTGATCAGTGCTGGCTCGGCGGGGGCGGCGGTCGCGCAAGGGGTGCCCGGCCGCCCCAGTGCATCGAGATCCGCGTCGCACGCGCAAGGCGACCTACCCCGCCGCGCCCGGCAACCGCGCCCGCGAGCTGACCCGGGCGGGGCAATTCTTCTCGGCGGGAAGGGGCTGGCTGGCGCGGCTGCTAGGGCGAGGGGGGCGCGCCCCTCCAGGCGCGGCGCTCCGGCTGGGCCTTCCCGATCGCGGATGCCGCGGCTCGCCTGCGCGATGGCTTGCACTGCGCAGCCGCCGTCAGCGGCCCGCCTCTTCACCCGGAGGAAAAAGGCAACGCGCGGGGCGAACCGAGCGATCCAAGGCCGGGGCGGCGGCCGGCGCGCCGGGGCCGCCTTCCATGGGGCGCTTGGGCCGAGGACCTGCCCGGCCCCTATGGGCATGGGTTCGCGTTGTTCGTTCGTCAAGGACTGCGAGGCGGGGGGATTGGGAGGCCTGGAAGTGGGCACCGACCCCAAACCAGGAGGTTGCGCTCACCGGGGAGGGGTGATCCCAGGTCTTGGTTGGCGGCAAATCTGTGTGGGTTGACCCTGGATCTGTGTGCGGCAGGTGGGGAGGGCGGGGTCCATCGGCATCGGAGCAGGCAGCCAGGACTGCGAGGCGGGGGGAATTGGGAGGCTCGGAAGTGGGCACCGACCCCAAACTAGGATTTTGTTTTTTCGCTTCAACTCCTGAAGTTTCAACACCACTAGGGAGGCGACCCAGAGGTGAGGGTTTTGATCAGCTGAGGGGGGGGAGAACCCCTCAGCAAACGCACGCTTGGTGTGAGAACCAGCATCCTAAGACGGCATTGCGACCCCAAACCAGGAGGTTGCGCTCACCGGGGATGATGCTAGATCTGCGTGGGCGGTAATATTTCGTTCACCTAGGAAGCTCTAGTAATGCCACCCATCGTCGAGATGGGGATCAGCTTCGCTCGGTGGAGGCACACTGCTAATCTTGGTGTTGGTGCCCACCCCTGTGCCTTCGAGAATTATCCATACTCCGAGTTTCTGAATAAGCGTCGGGTGGGCGTCACCCCCGCCGACAGGCCCACATCGACCCCCGTCGCGGGCAGCCACCGCGCGCTAAAGGCGCTCCGACCCCCGTCGCGGCGCGACGACGAGGCGAGGTTGACCCCCGTCAGGGGGGGTCCCCCCCCACGCTTATTAAGAAACCCAGAGTGTCCACCGCCTGGGGAACCGACGACCTGGGCCCCCAGCGGAGGGGGCCCGAATGCACCCATATCCACCGCTTGCCGAGGTCCCCGGAAATAGGTCCTCTAGGCGGTGGTTATGGGTAAATTCCCGATTCGGAAGGGATCGAATCGGAAGCTCCCCGGAAATGCCGGGGGAGCGGTACTGGGAGCGTCCCCGAGATGTGGCGGGGATGTGTGAGACCTGGGGCCGGGGGGGGGTATTTATCTATATCATATAGAACCGCGGGCGCGCTTCGCGCGCGCTTGGGTTCTAGCGCATGCCATGGCGCTGTTAGCTGCGCGTGCTCTTCGGACAGGCTCATTCCGTGCCTTGCCTTACCTCGTCCTCCAATATTCCTTATACGTCCTTCCTCGTTAACCCTCCAGGCTCTCTCGGTTGTCCTTGCTTTTCGTTTCTCGTTCTTGTCGACGGCCTCCTCTTGCTTGGGATTATGCGGGGACTTCGAGCTGTTCAGGGACGGCGTGGGAAGATATTCAATATGAAGTGGGCTGGCTTGAAATGTACGAGTCTCTTGTGGATCTTCCTGTTTGGGCTGCCTTGAAGGCCTTGGGGCCCGCTTGGGCCCCTCTTGGGCTCTTCTTCGAAGTTGTGGGGCCGTCTCGAGCCTCGGCGCCATGTGAAGATCTCCCGAAGCCATCCGAAGGAGACGAGCGTGAGATCTACTGAATATGGTGAAATCTGAATGGTTTTTGCGTTTGTGGCTCTCTGAGGTCATTTGGGAGGGCCTTTTGGGAGTTCCACTGGGGCATCTTGTGGCCCCTGGGGGCCGCCTTGAAACATCTTGGAGCGTCTCGGACCACTAAGGGACCATCTTGGCGGCCAGCGGGCGTCCTCCTGAACCAGCTCGGAACCATCTTCAGGCCGAAAGAACCACCCAAAACCCCCAAAGCGGATCCTGGAGCCAAGGGGGAGCAAATTGGATTGCGAAGGGGGGGGGGGGGGGAAAGTGGGCCACCCCAGGGCCACCCCAGGTCCCCTCCCCCAGGGGCGGTCCCGTCGTCTTCTTCCGTCGTCCGACGTCCGACGTCCGTCCGCCCGCCATGTTGTTTCTCTATGACAGCTCAGCCGCGGGCATCTTCTCTCGCTTGCTCTTAGTATAAAGTGCCTGGGATGCAGCGACCAGCGCTGTAAATGAGCTGCTACCTTGGGCTGCAGCTCGCTGGACACTGCTGCGTGAAGGCGCTGCTACCTTGGGCTGCAGCGCCATGCAATTAAATACTCCAGCATTGCTTATCCCACACGGCACTTGAGTAGGAGAGATGGACGTGCTTGGTTCGCGCATGAATTTCTGTCCTGAGTCCTGAATGTATGAGCATCTAACCCAAATCCAAAATTCCCAAATTCCTTGGGGCCTTCGGAGGCTCCGCGAAACCGTTAAAAAGCCGGGAAGCGCGGTACCGGCCAGATGTCAGGGGATGTGTAGGACCCCGAGTAGGAGTTCCACTTTGATGAAAAAAGGGAATTCGTGGAATTTTTTTTGTGTCCCAAATCATCGATCTTTGAGGGTTGGAGGCAGGCAAACGTGAGAAGGCGGAAAACATTAGAGAAAGCTATGGAAATCAATGATTTTACCCTCTTTGGGCTCTCTCGGGACGGCTCTCGCAGCTCTCTTGGGCTGTTCTTGGAGCCTCGTCGGGGTCTCTTTGGGGCCTCTCAGGGATCGGGGTGTGTTGGGGGCCTCTGGGGGGTCCTGGAGGCCTCTCGGAGGTTTCTTAATCCCTCCTGCTCCCGCTCTTGGGCCCATCTTGGGCCTGTTCTGGGGTGGTCTGGGGCTGTCCTGGGCGCCTCTTCGGCAGTCTTGGAGCCTTCTTGGCCCAGCTTGGGCCGTCCTGAGGGTCTCTTGGGTGGTCTTGGGCCGGTCTTGGGAGGCTCTTCGACGCTCTTGGACCATTGGAAGCTCGAAAACGCGAGAAGCCAAACACATTGAAAAAAACAACGAACATCTACGACTTTGGCATCCTTGGGGCGTCCCAAAACACTTATCAAACCTCTCTTAAGGTCTCTTGAAGGTCACCTGGGAGCCTCGAGAGCCGTCGGAAGGCTGACTTGGGCTGCTTGGAAGCGTCTTGGGCCATCCTTTCGCATTCTGGGGGCTCCTCGGGGGCGTTTTGGGCCCTCCTGGAAGAGAGAAAAGAAAAAAGAGACAAAAGAAAGTAGGGAAGAAAGAACAGGGAAAAAAACAAGAAGATACGCGCAAAAAAAAAAAGGAAAAAAGAAAACAAAACAGAAATAAAAAAAAGAAGGAACCGTGCTGTGGGCCATCCCAGACAGGTTTGGGGGAGGCGTACCGGGACGGTCCCCCGATATTGCGACAGGGAGGTGGTGGGACCGCTGGGGAGGGGGGGGGCGATATTCATTCATACACGCGTGTGTGAGTTGTGTGTGAGTGTGTGCGAGTGTGTGTGTGTGTATGTTTATGTGGTATGTGTATGTGTATGTGTCTGTTGCATGTGCATGTGCAATGTGGCGCATGTGCATGTTGCATTTGGATCTGTGTCTGTGGCTGTGTCAATGTCTGTGTGTCTGTGTCCTGTCTGTGGTCTGCGTCTGCGTCTGTGTCTGTGTCTGTGCCTGTGCCTGTGTCTGCGTCTGCGGCTGCGTCTGCGTCTGCGTCTGCGTCTCTGTGTCTGCGTCTCTGTGTCTGCGTCTGCGCGTCTGCGTCTGTGTCTGTGTTTGCGTTTGTGTCTGTGTCCGTGTCTGCGTCTGCGTCTGTGTCTGTTTCTGTGTCTCAGTCTGCGTCTGCGTCTGCGTCTGCGTCTGCGTCTGTCTGCGTCCGCGTCCGCAGTCCGCGTCCACGCGTCCGCGTCGGCGTCTGCGTCCTGGCGTCTGCGTCTGCGTCTGGCGTCTGCGTCTGCGTCTGCGTCTGCGTCTGCGTCTGCGTCTTGCGTCTGCCGTCCTGCGTCCTGCGTCTGGCGTCGTCGTCTTGCGTCTGCGGCGCTGCGCGTTCGCGTGCGCGTGCGCGTGCGTGTGCGGTGTGCGCTGGGCGCGTGCAGCGTGCGCGTGCGCGTGCGCGTGCGCGTGCGCGTTGCGCGTGCGCGTGCGCGTGCGCGTGCGCGTTCCGCAGGCGTTCGGGCAAGTGCGCGTGCGCGTAGCGCATGCGTGTGCGTGTGCGCGTGTCGTGTGGCGTGTGGGTGTGCGTGTGCGCGTGCGTATGCGTGTGCGCGTGCGTATGCGTGTGCGTGTGGCGTGTGGCGTGTGGCGTGTGGCGTGTGCGTGTGCGTGCGCGCCTGCGCGTGCGTGTGCGTGTGGCGTGTGGCGTGTGGCGTGCGCGCGCGTGTGTGTGTGTGTGTGTGTGTGTGCGTGTGTGCGTGTGCGTGTGGCGTGTGGCGTGTGCGTGTGCGTGGTCGCGTGGTGTTGCGTGCGCGGGCGCGTGCGCGTGCGCGTGTGCGTGCGCGTGCGCGTGCGCGTGCGCGTGCGCGTGCGCGTGCGCGTGCGCGTTGCGCGTTGCGCGTGCGCGTGCGCGTGCGCGTGCACGTGCAACGTGCGCGTGCGCGTGCGTGCGTGCGCGTGCGCGTGCGCGGGCCGTGCGCGTGGCGCGGTGCGCGTGTGCGTGTGCGTTTGCGTGTGCGTGTGCGTGTGCGTGTGCGTGTGCTGTGCGTTGCGTGTGCGTGGGTGCGTGGGCGTGTGCGTGTGCGTGTGTCGTGTGCGTGTGCGTGTGCGTTGTGCGTGTGCATGTGCGTGTGCGCGTGCGCGTGCGTGTGCGTGTGCGTGCGCGTGTGCGTGTGCGTGTGCGGGTGCGTGTGCGTGTGCGTGTGCGTGTGCGTGTGCGTGTGCGTGTGCGCGTGCGTGTGCGTGTGCGTGTGCGTGTGCGTGTGCGTGTGCGTGTGCGTGTGCGTGTGCGTGTGCGTGTGCGTGTGCGTTGTGCGTGTGCGTGTGCGCGTGCGTGTGCGTGTGCGCGTGCGCGTGCGTGTGCGCGTGCGTGTGCGTGTGCGTGTGCGTGTGCGTGTGCGTGTGCGTGTGCGTGTGCGTGTGCGTGTGCGTGTGCGTGTGCGTGTGCGTGTGCGTGTGCGTGCGCGTGTGCCGTATGCGTGCGCGTGCGCGTGCGCGTGCGCGCGCGCGTGCGCGTGCGCGTGCGCGTGCGCGTGCGCGTGCGCGTGCGCGTGCGCGCGTGCGCGTGCGCGCGTGCTTCTGCGTGCGTGCGTGCCTGTGCGTGCTTGTGCGTGCTTGTCCGTGTTTGTGTGTTTGTGCGAGTGTTTGTGTGTGTTTGTGCGTGTTTGTGTGTGTGTGTGTTTATGTGTTTGTGTGTTTGTGTGTGTTTGCGTGTGCTGTGTGTGGTGTTTGTGTGTGTGTGTTGCGTGTTGTGTGTGTGTGTTGTGTGTGTGTTGTGTGTGTGTTGTGTGTGTGTTGTGTGTGGTGTGTGTGGTGTGTGATGTGTGTTGTGTGTGATGTGTGTGTGTTGTGTGTTGTGTTGTGTGTTTATGTGTTGTGTGTGTGCTGTGTGTTGTGTGTTGTGTGTTGTGTGCGTTGTGTGTTGTGTGTCATGTGTGTTGTGTATGTTGTGTGTGGTGTGTGTGTGTTGTGTTGTGTGTTGTGTGTTGTGTGTTGTGTGTTGTGTGTTGTGTGTGTTGTGCGTGTTGTGTGTGGTGTGTGTTGTGTGTGATGTGCGTTGTGTGTGTTGTGCGTTGTGTTGTGTGTTGCGTGTGTTGTGTGTTGTGTGTGTTGTATGTGTTGTGTGTGTTGTGTGCGTTGCGCGCTGCGTGTGTACCCCACCCGGCTGTGCATTTGCTGCTGGACCACGAAGGCCGCGCAGGAACGCCGACCCATCCCGGACGAGGTGGACTTCAAGGATTGGATCAACGACCGCCCTGACGACGTGCCGGTGCGCGCCACGCGAGCCCTGCCTGGACGCTGCCCAACGCCGACACCCACATGCGACACGCCCCTTGAGCAGCTCCTGGCCCCACTGGACGGCGACGTGAATCCGCTCAGTGTAGGTGCCACGCTACCAGCCAGCAACGCGATGGACGACCGCCTCATCCCCATGTTCCACACGAGAAACGTCGGCATTTGGCGGCGCGACGGCTGCCCGCCCGGCACAGAAAGGGCACAGGTCGCAGACTGGACAGCCCATCCCCGGCATGCACGGCCACGCCGCAGACCCTGAAGGCCTCCGCGCTGGCCTATCCCTGGTGCATGGGCTTCCACTGGTCCAGCCCATGAAGGAGATGCCCCTGTCCAGGCGCTGGCGCGCAGGCTGGCACTGCGAGGACTGCCTGATCCACCAGTGGGACATGGCCCCGTCTGCCGCGCGACGCGTGCTCGATAAGTACGGCCCTGCTGCATGCCCCGGTCCCGGGGCCAGGCCCCTCGCCGCGCTGCCTGGAATCCCCGCCGCCCCTGCGGGGGCCGCGCTGCGCCCCAGCCAGCAGGGCGCGCAACGACGAACTGCCGCGCGGGACCAGGAGGCGCGCGCCAACCAGGAGCGCCTTCGGGAAGCCCCGCCGCCCCAGAAGACCGACGAGCGACCCCAACGCTCCTGGGCGCGAAGGATGGCGGCCAGGGCGACGCACGCACGGGTCGTGGCGCAGATGAGAGGCCAGCACGCCGGAGGAGCAGGCAGCGGCGAGGCCAAGCCTGCAGACACGGCTGCCAGCGCGGCAGCACAGCAAGCCCAGCAGCCTGCGGCTGGCAGCGGGCCCCAGCAGGACGGCGGCCCCGTGCCAGACGGGCGCAGCGCCCGCACTCCTGATCCCACTGGCAGCCCGAGGCCCAACAAGGACCGGCTCCTGACGCCCGCCGATCAATCCAACAGCCCCCGTACGGCCCTCCGCCAGTGGGCTGCCCAGATACCTGCACGGGCTCGGCCCGACGCGCCCGCTCGGCCCGCCAACCGAGTGGACGACCTCTGGCCAGACGACGTGCGCACGCACGCGTGGTACCTGCGGCACCCGGGCTTCGAGGTGGATCAGCGCTACAGGCACCTGGTCGACACCGTCCTGGACGACGACGGCGAGCACGCCACGGTATACAGCCCGCAGCTGCTCTCCGACAACTGCCTGCGAAAGGTCCCGCGCGCGATCTGGCCCCAGGGCGTCATCCCCGACGACACCCTGTCTGATTGGCCACGCTGGACATTCGACGCGGAGGAGTACTTCCTGGGGCACGTGGCAGCGTGGCTGGTCGCACACGGCGGCATGAGGGACAACTGGGAGCAGTACTGCGCCGACCACACCCTCACCCAGCGCTACCCGCCCCTGGCGCACCGACAGCAGCTACTAGCCCACGTCGTGCAGCTGGGCCAGCAGGCGGTGGAGGCCTGCCCTTACCTGGCACGGGACGCGTTGGCCCCCACCCTGCACCTTGTCCCCGGCCGGCTTCGCGAGCCCGTTGCGAGGCAGGCCGCTGCCGACCCTGGAGACGCCAAGGCCCGCGTCCGAAGCCTGGAGCTCCCGGCCGCGGGCATGCCGAACGGCCCCGAGCTGACGGGCCGCCCCATCGCGGGGCTCGCTTCCGGGGACGCGACACGGTCGCCCCAGGCCGCCTGCAGCGCGAAGTCATAATTACGGCACTACATCACCCTGGCCGTTCAGCACCACCAGGGGTGGACCAACAGGGCCGCGCAGAAGGCCTCCGAGACGGGGCGCCACCGGACACAGAGCCTGGACCCGAGCGGCTGGGACGACGAGGCCTGCAACGAGTTCCTGAACCTGGTCCACGGAGAGTCCGCCCCTGACACCTTCTTCCCGCGGGGACAATGGGACGACGACCGCGCCGCCCTCGTGCACCTGGCGAGCTTCCTGACGACGGATGCAGCGAATGGCGGCGGCGATCTCGGCGCGCGCTGGGAGCAGCACATCCGCGCCAACCGCGTGAATTTCGGCCCCTCGCCCCTGGCCTACCCGCGACCGGTGCTGGAGGCAGTCGTTGCAACCGCCGACGTCAGAGCCGCGGGCAAGGGGCTGCTCACCAACTACCAGCCCAGGACCCTGCCTGCGCAGCCTCTCTGCGCCACGCGCGCCCCTGAACAGCACGAAGACCCCGCGGCCGCCCCACGGAAAGCGGCGGAAACGCCACCACCCACGCCGAGTGACAGCGAGCTGGCTTCACACCCACCCAGGGCGCGCCCCACGGCGACCAAGTCCCCCGGGGCCCCGCCAGCCGCGGTCGCAAGCATTGGGCCTTTCCTGGAGCGCGCGCAGCGCGACCGCGACCGACGCCAAAAAGGACGAGTCCCGGACACACCCCTCCGGGCCCCCACCCGCCAGCTCACGACCGACAACCCAGACATCGAGAACGGCGACTACGTGGTCATCCGGAACGACATCACCGACGCCCGGGCAAGGTGGTTTGCAGCAGTGCAAAGCACCGATCCCCTGTTCCCGCAGCCCCTGGACGGAGCGGTATTCGGCCCGATCCGCGACGCCGAGTTCCGCACGGAGGGCGTGCACCGTTTCCTGGTCGTCCAAATAGGCGACGAGTGGCTTGAGATCTGGGGCGCTGGGACCAAGACGTTACGCGCCGACATCCTTCGCGGCACCGCGGCGGGCCGCGCGGCCGACTTCCTGGAGGGTGCCCCCGACACGGCGCAAGCACCGCAGGCGGCAGCAGTCCCTGCCAGCCCCCGGCTCGGCGCCGACCCTGAAACAGTCGAAGCGGCGCCCGCGGAAGGGGATCAGCCCAAGTCCAGGCCCCATTCCCGCGCTCCACGGGCGGTCGCACGGGACCCCGCGCACGAGCCACCGCCGGGCGACCACGCCAAGAGGAGATCCCTGACTACAGCTCCGAAGAGCAGGAGGAGGAACAGGCTCAGAGGCTGGCAGAGGCTGCAGGCGCAGTCCACTCAGTCTCACCCTCCCCAGCCTGGAGCCCATCGGCAGGTCCACATCGGCACAAGCCCCCGAGAGGTTCGGCGCAACAGCCCTGAACGCGGCACCGGCACGCAGCGCCAGGCCCGCCAGGCCGACGGGACTACGGCACAGGCCACACCAGCGGTGGCCGACGCTGACACCCGCGCCCCGCGCACACCCCACCCGACTGTGACCACTGGGGCCAGGCGCACCGCACCCGACCCCCGTCCTCCGCTCGAGTACGGTCGCGGACGCGGCAGGGGAGGTGAACCGGGTCTCTGGGACCGGTACGAGAGCACGGCAGGACGGCGCCCGCCCAGGGACACCAGCGACAGGGAGCGCGCTAAAGAGCGCGACCGCGACCGAGACCGCGATCGCGACAGGAGCGGAGGCTGGGGCTCCTCGCGCCGATACGACGATCGCCGCCACCCTGAACAAAACAAAAATGAGCGCCGTCGCCCTGACCACAGCCGCCTCTGGGAAGAGCGCCGCGTCAGCTGGCCGAGGGGCCCGGACGAGACGGCGACCACCCACCTGAATAAGGCTGAAAACCGAGGGAGGTTTGTGTTTCGCCGCAGCCTGGCATTCCTGGCGCAGGCACGTGGGCCAAGACAAGGGCAAAACGAGGGACGCAGTCAAGTTTGACCCGACCTGCTGGAAGCCCGACATGATCGACCGCTTCCTGGACGAAATGGCACGCAGCCGCTACGATGTGGGTACCTGGTCCCCGAACGCGGGCGTCTACATCGACTGGGACCGCGAAAACGCCCTGCATCGCTAGTCCCAGCGGAAGCGGGAGGTGGCCAAAGGCGAGGGGCGCGGGGACGGCCCATCACGCAACTACCGGCCCACAGACAACTGGACCAGAATGCAGCGCCCCAGGCGCCGACTTGCCCCGAACGCTCCGGGTGCCCGCCATAACCGCCCCTCCTGTCCCTGGCAAGGCCTCTTGGCGCTCTTCTTCGGGTACGACCTGTTCGTCGCCTTCTACAACGCCTGGCCCTGTCTCCCCCTCCCCCCTTCCTCCTTCACACCTGTTAATGGGACGGCTAATCCCTTCTGATCCCGCAGTATACCTGCTACATCGACTGGGACCACGAAAACGCCTTGTATCAAGAGATCCGGCGAAGCCAAAAGGTGGCCAAAGACGAGGCGCGCGGGGACGGCCCATCACTCAG